GGTTTGGCTTTGTAGACTTCAATAGTGAGGAAGATGCCAAAGCTGCCAAGGAGGCCATGGAAGATGGAGAAATTGATGGGAACAAAGTTACCTTGGACTGGGCCAAACCTAAGGGTGAAGGTGGCTTTGGTGGCCGAGGTGGAGGTAGAGGAGGTTTCGGAGGCCGAGGTGGTGGCAGAGGAGGAAGAGGCGGATTTGGTGGCAGAGGCCGGGGAGGCTTTGGAGGTAAGCTGGAACCTCTGATTCCTAACCTTGTGTCCTAACCATTCAGGTGGGGAGGTCACTTCCCAGTATTTTACCACCCATTCATGATGTTTTGCCTTCCTATAGGTCGAGGAGGCTTCCGAGGTGGCAGAGGAGGAGGAGGAGGGGGAGACTTCAAGCCACAAGGAAAGAAGACGAAGTTTGAATAGTTCCTTCCATCCCAATCTTTCCCGATTCATTTTAAAGAAAGGACTCTGGGGTTTTACACTGTTACCTGTTAAATGACAGAGCCTTTTAAAGGACATTTCAAAAGATTTTTTTTTTCCTACAATTTTTTTTTTGCGTTGGGGGTTGTAAAAGAATGTTTATCATGTTTTTTGCTTCAGTGACTTTAGGACAAATTAAAAGTCCTAAACTCTGGTGCCAGACTTATTCTTCCTAAAACTCCCTTTTGGAATGATGCTTAAGAGCTCGGCAAGACCAACTCTGCTGTTCAGATTCTGACCAGTGGGAATTCAAAGTGTGTTCCTTCTGCTTTCAAGAATCCCAGCTACAAATGTGGAAATTAGTTGCGGGGGGGGGGGGCACAGAATCGTCATTATGTTTCTGATCTGGAAGGTTTGTTGAAGACACTGCATTTGCACCTAGATGGGTGTGCTGGATAGTGGTTGGTAAGGAGCACATGGATCAGTGCTAAAACGGCAGTAAAAGTAAAACCATAAGAGCTTGTGTGGTATGTAATTTGAATCCCAGCACTTGAGTTCCAGGACAACCAATGACCTAACAGGAAGTTTGTTTAGCTAAGGGAAAGAGGCTCCATCAAATATATTTAGAAGTATATGGCCCTTGGCCTGTACTTTTCCCAGTGATCCATCAAGGATGTGTTAATATACCTATCTGGCTGGGTATGTGGTATGGCACTCAGGCGATTTAGAGGTTAGAGCCTTTCCCATCTAGAAAAATAATTAGGGTGGCACAGGCACTGGATTTGTATGGAGCATTTTTTGGGGGGAGGGGAACCCTTGACTGTGCTAGCATCCTAGTTTAAAAGAACAGTTAATGTCTTGTAGCTAAAGCAGCTTAAGGGGAGGGAACTAGAAATGGTAGAACTGATGGAGGAACAGGAGGCAAAGGCAGGTAAATCTATACTGTACAGAGTGAGTTCCAGGATAGCCAGGGCTATTCAGAGACCCTTGGGGGGGGGCAGTCGACTCTGGTGCTAATAGGGCAGACAAGTGTTTTTTTGTTTTTTATGGAGTTAAGGATGCAGGATCATTACCCTGTAGTGTCATCAAAACTGGTTTGCAGTTGGGTACCTCCATTCTTGAATTGGAGGGACTTGCAGCCATTTCAGAAGATTAGTAAGCTCCCTTTAGGAAATGGTTGACCCTCCTTTCTCTCATTCTTCCAGCAGGTGGCAATATAAGTACACATGAAAACTGAGGGAGGAGTGCGTGGAGGGAAGCCAGGCAGATACCATGTTTCTCATCTGTTTTTCACACTAGTGGGGTGGCTTGTTTCCTATCTAAGAATGCTAGTGACTGGAGGTTGCCAAGTCTACCAGATTGCAGTTTACCTGCCTGAAACTCTTTGAATCTAGGCTGAGGTGGGAAGGGAAGGAAAACATACCTGAGGTTTAGAAGTTTTCCTCCTAGGTGTAGCATCTTTCTGTTTTTTGAGACTGGGATTCTCTAGTTCTGGCTGTTCTGCCATCCACCTACCTGCCTCTACCTCCCAAGTGCTGGGATAAAGGCATACACCACCTTTCCTGGTGGGTTAATTCCATATGTGTGCGGTCAGAAGATTACTTTACCAATTCTTTTCACCTTGTTTTGAAAGCAGCCTCTTGTTTCTTATGGATGGCATACTCAAGGCTAGGTTGGGTTGTTTCTGGCTATAGTAATGTCGGGATTAAAGATGCATGCCACCAGGATTCTTGGTCATCAGCTACCTAGTGATAGATCTCCAAGGCCACCATCTACTTTTGATACAGGGTCTCTTTGTACCCTGGCCTGTTGTGGAACTTACTATGTAGACCAGGCTGGGCTCAAAGTCCCAGATCTGCCTACCTCTGGCTTAGAGTGCTGGGGTTAAAGGTGTGTAGCACCTTGCCCAACTCCATGATATTATATATGTATATATGTTTTTTAATGTCAAAAAGGTCAGGCTGTGATGGCACACACTTTTAATCCCAGCAGAGGTAGGTAAATCTTTGTGAGCCAGCCTGGTCTACAAACTGAGTTCCATTACACAGAAACCCTGTCTCAAAAAAAAGGGCTTGAGACCTCTTATTAATCCTTTTAATCCTCTCAGTAAACCAATTCTACATTTATTTTGGGAGTCTATAGTTTTGAATAGGGTTTTATGATGTAACCCTGATTGTCTTTGAAATTGAAATCTTGCTTCAGATCCAACTGGTGAGATTACAAGTGTACAACCACACTCAATCCTTAGGTTCTTATCGAATTCAGCCATTATTTTTCAAATGTCTTTCAGTCACATTCATTCTCTACCCCTG